CATCACACAGGTCTCCCCAAGGCCTGTGAAGTGAAAGCAGCAGCCAATGGGATTAAAGGCCGTGGGAGAGGGGACGTGTGTGAGATCCGCCAAGGTGTGCCTGTGTGGCCCTCTGATGGGCTGTGCAGTGGCATGTGACTTCACTGAGTAGGTGTCTTTGTATGTCTGAAATCCATGAGTGTGTGGGACTGCCCGTGTCAGTTACATGTGTGCATGTGGAAACGTAGATGTTCCAAAGCCATGTTGTCATTTTTTGAGTGCTGAGTGGCTTCACTGTGTTCTTGTGTGATTCCAAGAGTGTATCAGAATGGCCAAACACCAAACCATGTGTTTCCGATCGTGTGGGTGCTTCTCTGTAGCTGTGTGTGTGAACTGGTGTCAGCCTGTGTCAGTTTGTGTGCCTGTGTTGAGTAAATGAGGCCAGAGGGCTGTTTAGCGCAAGACCTAGGACCCAGGTCACATACCCTCCTGGAAAAGGGATCATGGAAGGACATTGACCAGAAGGACAGAACAGGGGAGGAGAGGGCCCGGCCCCTTGAACTTTGGTCTCTGGTATTCTTTCTCTCTCCCTTCAACGGCCCAGATGGGAAACTCAGGCTATGGCCATACATACTACACCCCCAGAAAAGCAGACGCATCCCTGGCTCTCCTGGCCTAGGGAAAAGCCCACCAGAAATGCCATACCAACCTGTGGCCAAGATGAAGACAGCACAGTGAGATGAAAAAGAAACCTAGTTGGAGTGAGAGGATAAAATGTTCTGTCCTCCCCTTAATGGGAGAAGAGAATTGAGTGCCCTCCACTCAGGCCTGCCATTTTGCACCAAGCCCCTCTCCTATCCCCAATCCTGTTTCAGAAAGGACACTCCCTTCCAGGGTGATCTAGTCACACAGAAAACTTCCATCTGCATGGAATCAGATACACAGAGTTGCACACCAACACTAGATCTGATCACACAGGGAACCTACTATGTTGCTCTGTGCCTGCCAGTGGTGGAGTAAGGAGAGGACTGGAATCTGAATTGTAAGGCTGGTGTAGTGGTGTCTATAGAGGGAACTCTCGTGTGCATTTCCTTTTGCCATATCAGACTAGGACATCAAGGGTATGCCTGCTGAGATCTTGAGGTGAAGGAGAGAAGAGTGGTAGTGTGACAGGAGGGTCCTCTAGACAGGTACCCCCTCCTTCTACATTCTGTCCCATCCCAGACACAGACCTTGTGTGTTTCTCTCACTTCACCTACCACGTCTGATACTCTTTCCCTTCTATGTTTCCTTTTTCCTATTTTACCTACATTTCAACTGGAAATGGCTACTTCTCATCCTCCCTTACCTGAATGCCTGTACCACAGGAGGAGGAAACTACTTGAACTGTTTTGGGGGGTGCTGGGAATGTGCTAAGATGCTGTCCCTATTCCTGTAGTGGTTGGCCAAGTGGAGCATGAGGATTAGGGAGACACAGATTGAGAGAAACAAAGGCCCTAGAAGCTGAAGGGGAAGCTGGCAGGGATGCCCAGGAGACACAGTACTCAGGAAAAGGCCCCAGAGGTAGACAAAAGGCAGAGCTGGCAGGCAGTTTGGGGGGGGGCACAGAAGAGGCAAGGGACATGGAGAGGGGGGTGGGGCACTGAGCTGCCAGCAGATGGAGGGGATTTGCTTTGCTGAGCTGAACTCTTCAGCCAGTGAGGTTTCAGAGAACTTGGAGGGGGTGGGGATCCATGATCAGTTACCTGGACTACTACTGCTCCCTTTTCTTCTTCACCCAGGTTCGTTCGGTCTTGGGCAAAGTGTGTCTGGTCTGAGCTCCTTTGTGGCCCTAGTATACGGACCCTAACACCTCTGTTCTGTCTTTAAGCTGTGGCTACCCTCTCCATTTCATACTCCTCTAAGCTCACTGCAGTGAGGGGAGAACTGGGGTTGCAGAGACTTAAGAGCTGCACACCATTTGTGGTGACAGAAAGGTGACCTCTTTCTCCCTTATAGGACCTGAAGGAGAAGAAGGAGAAGGTGGAGGAGAAGGCAAGCCGGAAAGAGCGAAAGAAAGAAGTGGTGGAGGTGTGGAGGGGTCAGGCGGGAGAGGACCACCCCTACCCCACCAGCTTCCCTCCAGTTACCTTCCTGGGGGCCTGGGCCTTTCCCTTCCCTAACACCTGCCATCCTCACTTCCCTATCCTGGGGCTTCTCCTAAGTCCTCTGTCACCCAAGCCTCTTTCCTCTGTGCTGCCAAGGAGGCCCACTGCCAGCCTGATTGTGCTCCCTCTCCTGCTCTCCACAGGAGGAGGAGAACGGAGCTGAGGAGGAAGAAGAAGAAACTGCTGAAGATGGAGAAGAGGAGGATGAAGGGGAGGAAGAAGGTGGGGAAGGGCAGGGGAGGCTGGGCTGGAAAAGTACAGTCTTAAAGGCATAGAGTTAGGGTGGGTTCAGAGACCTGAAACAGGGCTAAGGGCTACCACAGGGGGTCTCTGCTGTAGCTTCCTGCCCTTCCCCAATCACCCATTTCTGGCTCCTCAGATGAGGAAGAAGAAGAAGAGGATGACGAAGGGCCCGCGCTGAAGAGAGCTGCGGAAGAGGAGGTTTGGGCTGGGTTGCGGGGCCTGAGGGGCTTTCAGGGATGCAGCAGGGGCCGGGAGCCCTTTGGATTTGGACCCACATACTTGTGGTGGCATGGGCGGGGGCTGGCACAGCCAGACAGGGTACAGTCTCCTCTCCCATTTTACAGCTACCTTAACTCTTTCCCTCTGTACAGGATGAAGCGGATCCCAAGAGGCAGAAGACAGAAAATGGGGCATCAGCATGAGCCCCCTGCCAATGGGCTGGGGGTGGAAGGCCCCTCAGGGCCTGGAGGTGGGGGTGGGAAAAGACAAGTACAGCCACTCTTTACCTGGCTCCTGCCCTGGGCCCTTGCCAGAGGTGCCACCCTCTTCTTCCTCCCCAGCGTTCTCATTTCTGCCTCTCCACCCTCATTCTGCCATTGTCCTACACCCTGACCTGCTCCATCTGACTCCCCAGCTGGCCCCTGTTGCTCCTGTCTCTTTGCTCTCTTCCTTCTCCCTCCACCAGTCCTACTCCTCTGGAGGCCTCCTCCTTAACCTCTTCATTCCCCAGTCTCCTGCCCTGCCCCGTCCCTATCCTGCCTGTTCCCAGGTCTCCCTCAGATCCCCTCCTCTCAGACAGCGCCAGGCCGGGGTTAGGGCCGGGGTTGGGGCCAAGCCCCACAGCTGCCCCCCTCCCTCCCCTTTTTGTATAATTTAATAAAGAAATGGTCGCGCTTCTGTTTTTAACCCGTCTCCTGCTTTCCAGGGGTCCCATCAATGCAAAAAAAAGGGTAGAGGGAGGAGGGTGGCTGACCTCACACTCCATCAGGCTCTTTCCCATGGAACAAAAGCAGCAGTACACTCTACCAATCAAGATTCACAAAAACAAGAACAGCCCTGCAGGGGTGAACCAGAACCTAGCTCTTCTGAGAGTTATGTTCTGTTTTGGATTCTTGGGGATGCTCCTCCCCAGCAATACACACTTCCCTGCTAAACCACACAAGACCTAGACACTGCTGAGCCCAGTGGAAAGCCACCAGTCCTATTGTGCTGAACCAGACACACAGAAACAGGAAGTCCCGCCCCTGGACTGGGAGAGGGCTGGGGTAGGCCTAGGTCTCAGCTTCCTGAATCTGGATGCCTTCTGGCAAGTAGGAAGTGAGCTCCTTCCAGTCACAGTCATGCAGGGGAGAACTCCAGGGCCTCCTGTGATTCCCAGGTCTGCTGCTGGTTCTTATACTGACCCAGGGCTCCTGGGCTGGGCTGGTGTAAGGAGGTGTAGGAGTTAATCTGTCAGTCTGCCTTCCCTAGTCCCTATGCTTCAGATTTTCTTGAGTTTGATTTGCATTGCAAGATTGCTGCATTTTCCCATGTACCTATAATCTTTGTCCTCTCCTTAGTTCAGAACCTCTGGGTTGGAGGGAAGGACAGGGGTCTGAGCTGGGAGAAACTGGGGCTGACTGACCAACACCACTATTCCCAGCTCCCAAGGTCTGGACTACATATACAACTTTTACCTTTTATCCTTAACTTTGGCAAATTATTTAATCTCAGAGCCTTAGTTTCTTCATCTGTGCAATGGGGAGAAATACTAGATATGAGTTACTGTATGTTAAGTATCCAATACAGTCCCTAGTGCACAATGCAGGCTCCATACCATGTAGCTATTTTTACCTCTCACCAGTTGGCATGTTCTTCCCCAGACCTATGATCTTTTAAAAATGCCCTGAAGCTTCCTGTCAATATCTCCTGCCTGGAGACATTGTAGGGATGGGTGGGGGACAAGTCTACAGAGATGATGAAGTTCTGAGAGATTGAGGGAACAGCAGAGAGGATAAGTATCAAGGAAAGAACGTGCCAAGAAGAAAGTGTGAATACTGGGACAGCTTAGAGATGGGCAAGGGGGTTGTTCCAGGGAGAGATGGTTTGTGGAAGAGGGCAGAAGGGGATTGGGGGAGGGGGTGGTGGGGACACCCAGGACTGAGGAAGTAAACAAGGGGAGTGCCACCACAGAGGTGGAGGGTGATGCTGCTGGGAATCAACCCCCTCAGACTTTCCACTGTCAAGCGAAACCTGTAAGCCCTGGGTGTGGGGGGCGGCGACAAGGAGGGGAAGTGGGGAAGGTGGAGAGAAAGGACAGGGGCAAGGGCCCCCAGAGCAGCAGAACAGCATCCCTGCTGACAACCACCCTGACAGCCACTGATCCTCCACTCTTTCTGCTCTCTACTTCTACCCTGCCGATTCCCTGGTATACCCCCTCACCTCCCAAGTCAAGTCGGCCTGATCTGACCAGGTTTGCCCTGGATTCCAGTCTCTGATCATTGCTCCTCCCCACCCTCTCTCCAGCCCTCTCCAATCCCCCTTCCTCCAGATTCCTTTCCTCCACCTCCATCTCTGTGGAACTTTTTTGTCTCCCTTCTTCCTTTCTGACCTCTTTTTGGAGGACTCACCACGGCCCAGGCCATAGGAGAAATGTGGGAGGCTCAGTTCCTGGGCTTCCTGCTTCTGCAACTGCTGTGGATGGCTCCAGGTAAGGTGGGGATGATGGGAGGGTTGACCTCCAGACCCCAAAGGAAGGGGCAGTAGGGATCTCTCTATTGCCTCAAAGATCCTGAGGTTCTTAGTTGGGTGTGGTAGAGTGTACCTATAGTGCCAAGTACTCAGGAGGTTGAGGTGGGTGATGGCTTGAGCCCAGATACTGAGCTATGATGGTACCACTGCATTCTAGCCTGGGCAACAGAGTGAGACTCTGTCTCCAAAACAACAACAACAAACCAAAAAACAAACAATAAAAACCTCACCTCCCATGGTCCTTGGCTCTGTAGTGGCTCCTTTCTTGGGGATGATCCTTCCACCCCTAAAACCTCTCTTAGATTTTTCCCCTTGGCAGAAAAGGGAGAGAAACCCAAGCTCATCCTCCACCCTGTCCCTCTCTGGAAAACACTGAGGCTCCTTCTCTACTCCTAAGTCTCAGCTCACAGCTCCTCCCCTTGGCCTCTCTTTGGCTCTCCTAGTGGAGGCTCCAAGGCCTGGGTCGGAGGTCCAGGTGGTGTGGGCCCAGGAAGGGGCTCCTGCCCAGCTTCCCTGCAGCCCCACAACCCCCATCCGGGATGTCAGCCTTCCCCGAAGAGGAGGGATCACTTGGCAGCATCAACCAGACAGGTATGTGCCCCAAACCTGGGAAACAGATCCTCTAAGTCCAGCACCAATGGCAACCAGACTCAACCCAACACCCAAGCAGGCCCTCTGTCCCCTCCCCTCACGCGTCAGTCAATCCCTTTGAAGGCAATGTCTTAGCCGCCCCCACTCAGGCACCCTCCTGCCCTTCCTCTGCAGAATGGCCGGTTCGCACCTGTAACCCACCTACAGGGCCCAAGCCCATCCGGTTGGTGTGGGTCAAGAGATCTCCTGGGGCCGGTATCCTTATCCTCAAAGTGTAGTTGACTGCATCTTCTCTGACTTCTTCCCCCTTGAGCTTCTCAATTCCATTCTCTCTCCCGCGCAGGCCGCCCGGCTCTAGCTCGGCGGCGCCCTCCCTATACACGGTGCTGATCGTGACTCCCGGAGGCCTGCGCAGCGGAAGACTGCTTCTGCAGCCTCGCGTCCAGCTGCAGGAGCGCAGCCTCCAGCGCGGCGACTTCTCGCTGTGGCTGCGCCCAGTCCGGCGCACAGATGCCGGAGAATACCGCGCCACTGTGCGCCTCAGGGAACACACTTTCACCTGCCACCTCCGTCTGATCGTCGGTCAGGCCTCGAGTAGGTGGGGCGGGACGAGGGGCGACGGGTGGGGAAGAGGGCCACCGTCCCCGCCGCCCCGGGGCAGGAAGGGCTGCGGCAGACGCTTCGAGAACCCCCAGAGGGTAGAGGAAGCGGGTGGGGAGCCTGATTGAGGGGAAGGTGCCCTCAAGCACGTGTATGGGGGGCGGAGGGCCCTATGGAGAGATTGTGTCACCCTTGGAGCTCCCCTTCGCCTACCCACTGCGGGAGTGCCCTGGTGGAGGTGGGGAAGCACTTCTGGGGGACAGTGTGGAGGCTACAGTGATTCATTTCAGGTATATGTAGCTCAGGGGTGGCCTTGGTGGGGATCCTCAGGCTAGGCCTGGTGAAGGGGGAGGCCAGAGGATGCCAAGTCAAATTGAGGGAGGAGATGAGGAAAGTAGTCCTGGGGACTCTTGGGGATCCACTTTAAGTACTTCTAGGTATCAAGCACTGAGCTGAGTGGAGTGGGAGCAGACAAATCTAAAGAAAGGTCCCATTTCCAGGAGCTTCCAGCTTGGTTTACTTGATGTGTTGGGAGAGTGTTTCTGATAGAGCTGATCAAGTCCTCTTTATCTTTGCACAGTGACTGCCTTCCCCTCAGGGTCTCTCAGGACCTCCAACTGGGTCATTTTGAACTGCTCCTTTAGCCGCCCTGAGCGCCCAGTCTCTGTGCACTGGTTCCGGGGCCAGGGCGGAGTACCTGTCCAAGAGTCCCTGCATCACCACTTAGCAGGAAGCTTCCTCTTCCTGCCCCAAGTCAGCCCCCTGGACTCTGGGCCCTGGGGCTGCATCCTCGCCTACAGAGATGGCTTCAATGTCTCCATGATGTACAACCTTACTGTTCTGGGTAACTCCTCCAGTCTGCCTCACACTTGACCACAACCCCTTCCTGCCCCTCATCACCTCCCCGGCTTCTGGGTCCCCAAATCAGTTTCTCAGCAGTTAATTCTGGTCGTCTTTGCTCTGAGCCTGTCTGACCCCTTTTTCCTGAGACAGCCTTTCATCTGCCCTCTCCCCTTCTGGCTTTTCTTTTGGGCTCCCAGTCTCACTCTCTCACTGTTTTGCTGATATAGCCCACTTTCCTGGTTACTTAACATCCTTGGTTCATCCACCTTATTCTCTTTAGCATTCTTCAAACCATCTCCTTTACTCTTCTGTCCCTCATCCCATCCCAGTGCTCTGACCCCACTGCATCCCCACCTCAGCTTTAACTCTGGATTCCCTTTTTTCTCCAGGTCTGGAGCCCCCGACCCCCTTGACAGTATATGCTGAAGCAGGTTCCACAGTGGAGCTGCCCTGCCGCCTGCCTCCGGGTGTGGGGACCCAATCTTCCCTCACTGCCAAGTGGGCCCCTCCTGGTGGAGGCCCTGACTTCCTGGTGGCTAGAGACAATGGCAACTTTACCCTTCGACTAGAGGCTGTGAGTCAGGCCCAGGCTGGGACCTACACCTGCTGCATCCATCTGCAGGGGCAGCAGCTCAGTGCCAGGGTCACTTTGGCAGTCATTACAGGTCAGTTCGAGGTGGGAAAGGAGTTGCTCCCATCCCAGGACAGCAAGGACAAGGAAGGAGAGCTGGCTGGGCAATGACCAGGCAAATTCACTTCATGATGCCAAGCCATTGGGCACAAGTTTCAGAGGCTGCCCACTATGGTCTCCTCTTTTCTTACCCACATTATAAATAACTGAACTGAAAATCTCCCCTTGAGTCACAACATAAATGTTCCACTGTTCTTTATGGGACTCCCCTGCTCTGAATTGGCTGGAAGGTCTAGAAAGTTAGAAGGAGAGGTGACAAGAGTTTGAGTGGTTCAAAAGAGGTGGAGTATATTTGTAGAATCTTTGTCCACTTTGAGGCCAGGGCTTGGGTTAAAGTTGCAGGAAGTGGCCTGGATTTGGGAGGAGTTAATAAATCAGTTCCATGATCAGCAAATATTTACAGAGCAAGGGTTTTCCAAGACAGTATAAAACAAACAGAAAAAAAGGTCAGAAAGTATGTATTAACTGATTGGTAACTATCAGCCATGACAGATTAGTCATGTCTGCTGCACTCATTTGCGGCCACTGAATAGTAACACCACATGGTAGGTGATTAATAATGTATATTGAATGAATAAATGAACATGCTAACAAATAATACATCTCCTGAGGGCCAATCCTGAATTTCTACCTGCTTTCTGGATATCTCTATCTAGATACCATACCATCCCTCAGCATCACCCTGAACTCTATCTTTTCCTCACACCAAACCTCTGGCTGACTCAGCCTGTCAGTCACCACTGGTATTCCACTTACCCTGAAACCTGGCCTCTTCCTTTCCCACATCAGGTCAGTCAGCAAAACATACCAGTTCTTTCTGTCCAGTGACTTTCTGGAGAATCAACTGTTCCATGTACAAGAACTCCATGGTAGAGATGTTATTACCTCTGTTTTAGGGAGAAGGAAATTTCTCAACGTCACACAGCTGGGAAGTACCAGACTCAGGGTCTGAACTCAAGTGTTTCTGTCACCAAATCTTCACTCTCTGGTACATCACTCTCTGTCAGATCAAGGCTCTTCACCCACCTATTTCTCACTCTACAACTTTGAGAATGCTCTGTCTCTAGATCAGTGAGTCACTTCACTGTTCTCTATACTTTCAGAAAAGGGGATAAATTTCATTCAGGGGGACCACAGTGCAGGGGCACTGATGTGAGTCATGTCATGGATGGAAGCAGAAAAATTATAAGGTAGATTGGGGTCCAAGTCATCTGACTGACATTGAGGATTCTGGGCATTGGAGTAGAAAGTAGTATAAAAGAAATAGAAATGGTATTTATGTGGTCTTTCAGGGCCAGTTTGTGAACAAGTCCTAAAGGTAATAAGGATCCCAGAACGCAGGGTAGGAAGCTGAGCAGAGCATTATCCATGGTCTTGATAGGATTACTTTGGCCATGACCCCTGATCCCCTCCCCCAATCCACCTTATCAGAACCCAAGTGAGTCCAGGATGATTAAGACTAGGTATTGAACCCATGGTACCAACTAAGGGGGCTGGAATCCTAAAAGAGCTCTTACTTCTAATTTTTTCAGTGACTCCCAAATCTTTTGGGTTACCTGGCTCCCTGGAAAAGCTGCTTTGTGAGGTGACACCAGCATCTGGACAAGAACGCTTTGTGTGGAGGCCTCTGGACAATGAGTCCTGGAGGACCTCCTCAGGACCCTGGCTGGAGGTGCAGGAGGCCAGCCTCCATTCCCAGCCCTGGCAATGCCAGCTGTACCAGGGAGAGAGGCTTCTAGGAGCAGCGGTGTATTTCCCAGCACTGTCTAGCCCAGGTTTGAGGCCTCAGTGGGTCACAGCCCAAACTCTAGAGCAACAGTCTTGATTCCCCTTCCAGAACACTCCCCATAATCCTCATCCCAGTGCTTTTCTTTCCATTAAGGGACTTGACCTAGAGCTCTTGCCCAGGACTGACCCACTTCTGCCACTAATTAGCTAAGTGACCCTGGACAAGTTTCTTAAACTCTCTGTGGTCCTCACTGAATCTGTAAAGTGTGAGGGAGTGACAGCCCTGAACTATGCCTAATCCTGTATTTTCTCCATAGGTGCTCAGCACTCTGGGAGAGCCCCAGGTGCCCTCCAAGCAGGCCACCTCCCTCTCTTTCTCATCTTGGGCATCCTCTGTCCACTCCTTTTGGTGACTGGAGCCTTTAGCCTTCATCTTTGGAAAAGACCGGTGAGCCAGGGACACACGCTTCCCCAACTGGCTGCCTCTCTCATCAATTCTCAGAGTGCTATCTGACACCCTTCCTTGGGAAGATGACCAAGGAAGATGGAAGATCCTGGACTTGCCTTCAGAACCACTGCCCCCCTGCCCCCACCTCTAGTTCCTGGAGAGGCCTGGAGTAGGGGGTGGCACCAGATGGGGAGGGCAGAGTTGCTGAGAAAAAAACAGATGGACTCAGATCCTTCTGTTCATCCATCCTCCTCTCTCTCTATCTCTTCCCACAGTGGCGACCAAGAAGATTTTCTGCCTTAGAACATGGGATTCACTCTCCTCAGGCTGAGAGCAAGCTAGAAGGCCAGGACCAAGAGCCAGACCTGGAGCCAGAGCCTGAGCTGGACCCGGAGATAGGCCCGGAACTAGAGCCGGGGCTGGACCCAGAGCTGGAGCCAGAGCTGGCCCTGGAGCAACTTTGACCTGAAGCTGAAACAGCCAGCAGATCTCAGCAGCTCAGTCCAAATACACTCCCTGTCAGCAGCAAGCCTGCGTCTGACTCTTTCTTGTCCAGGGAAGGTTCCTGTCTCTCCCCAGCCTCTGGGGGCTCCCTACTCCCACTCTAGCCTCCTAACCTACTTTCCCCAGCCAATCTCCCTCATCTTCCCCTTTTCTGTTTCTGGCTGCTTTGTTTCTTCCTTGGTGTCTCTCTGTCTCTGTGTCTGTCTCTCTCTCTCTCCTGGGTAATTATTTTTCTGAAGCTCCAAAAAGCTCTCGCCCCTTACCTCGGCAGCCCCCTCCTCTGTGCTTCCACCCACAGCATGCTGGCTGCCCTGGTTTCCTTTATATTTTTGTCCCTCTGGCCACCCCACTTCACACTCAGCAGCTGCACTTCAGCACTTGCCCTGGGCCCCTTGGCTGCAGCAGATGTGCACATATGCTCTCACGCACGTGTGCACACTCACACACATGCACACGTGCTACACAGAGGATCCCAGCCACCTTAAGACCTCCAGGAGATTCAGCCTTTCTGGGCGGCAAGTTGAGGTTCCTACTTCTGCCCCACCCCCTACCTTCCTCAGCCCTCAGTGACTTTTCTAGTCCCAGGCATGAGAACACACTGCCACCCAGTGGTCACTCCTCATCACACCCCAGTGGAGGTCCCTGGGCTGGCTGTGCCAGGCTCAAGGAGAGTTAATGCTGCAGCAGACAAGATGGGGGAACAGAGTGCTGTGAGTGTGGGCATTGCTTTTGCATGCTCTATGGGAAGCTATCACATGTCCTGCCTGTGCACCCTTCAGCGGAGGGCATGAACAACGCATGTCTCAGGATTCACAGCCCTAGCCCTATAATCCAAGTCTGACAAAGGTGGGGGCTGTGAACATTGGCCTGGACACAGAGAAGAGAAACCAGCAAGAGAAACCACCAGGAGCCCTGGCTCCTCACTTCAGCTCTGCTGATATGACATGGCCCTTCCCCCTGAGCCTCTTTCTTCACCTATATCAAGTGGGATAATGATAATAACCCACTAACAGCAGTTGTGCATATCAGATACTAAAAAGTCTTGTAGACATAAGGCATACTGGTCTGATCACCCATTAATGAAGGAGAAAGCAGCTTGCTTTGATCATGCTAATGATGATATTGAAGATCCCCAAGCTCACTTCTGCCTCCTCTCTGTCTGTCTCTCTTAGAAGGAGGATTCTCCTGGGCTATTGTGATGGCCTTTTCAGCAGAACAGACATGGCCCCAGTCCACAAAACCCTGACATCTGGATTGCCCATAGGGACAGAGGCACCCACCTCCAATGGTGGACTTTAGTCACAGACAGCTCTGCCAAGGGACTTTAGCCCTGTACAGGAGGACAAAATACTGAAATTGGGTGGGAGAAAGCTTGCTGGGATGGGAGGTATATGGTGGCAAATGCATGTAGTGTCCCACTGGGCCTGTGTGCTGTGCATAAAGTGACACAGACAGACAGACCATGAGGCTTAAGACCTGTCCCTGTGTAGACCAATGGACAGGAGCTTAGGGACAACAGAGAACGAAGAGAGGGACACCTCTGAAAACTCCATAATGGACGATTTAGGGCATCCTGAGGTTCTTTTTTTTTTTGAGACAGAGTCTCTTTTTTGCCCTTGGTAGAGTGCTGTGGTGTCATAGCTAACAGCAACCTCCAATTCTTGGGCTCAAGCTCTTCTCTTTTTTTTTTTTTTTTTTTTTGAGACAGAGCCTCAAGCTGTCCCCCTGGGCAGAGTGCCGTGGCATTACAGCTCACAGCAACCTCCAACTCCTGGGCTCAAGCGAGTCTCCTGCCTCCGCCTCCCAAGTAGCTGGGACCACAGGCGCCCGCCACAACGCCCGGCCATTTTTTGGTTGCAGCCGTCATTGTTGTTTGGCGGGTCCGGGCTGGGGATTCGAACCCGCCACCTTAGGTGTACGTGGCTGGCGCCTTAGCCGGTTGAGCTATAGGCGCCGAGCCCTCAAGCTATTCTCTTGCCTCAGCCTCCCAAGTAGCTGGGAATACAGGCGCCTGCCACAATGCCTGGCTATTTTTAGAGACAGTGTCTCACTCTTGCTTAGGCTGGTCTCCAAGCTGTGAGCTCAGGGCAATCCACCCACTTTGGCCTCCAAGAGTGCTAGGATTACAGGCGTGAGCCACTGCGCCTGGCCCGCAGTCTAAGGTTCTGACTTCAGGGTGGTGGTAACTCTTGCCGCTCTTCTACTTGTCAGGAGTGGAAAAGTAGCACCAGAAAGAGGAAGCTCTGGCACTTGCCAGGGATAATTGCACTGTCAAGTAAAGTCCTGAAATCCCTTTAGGAGTCTCCATAGCATCACTCCCACCCTTCACCATGGGGTGCTGACAGCTACTGAGAAGACTCCTCACTTCCACCCCAGGACCCTGCTCTCCACAGCCTTAGTGGAAGCCCCCATGTTTTAGGAGGGCAGGGGTTTCCTGGAAAGTTCTGTAGGTGGCATTTTTCCTTTCTACTAGATAACAACCTATGTTCTTTGGGTTTATGAGAGTAGACACTGAAGAGTCACTGGGGCCAGCAGGGACTTCCCCCTGCTGTTTCATGAAGGAGACAGGGAGGGAACAGAGGCAGAGCAAAGCACCACCTTGTTCCTCCACCCCTCTAGAGAAGAGCAGAGCAAAGGCAGAAGCAAAGAGGGGCATGAGGGCTTGTGCATACAGTGCTTCTCTATGGGATCGCTCCTGGGGTGACAGTACTACTCCCAGCCTTCTCTCCACAAGACCCCACTCCCCATCCAGCAGGATAACCTCCAGCCCTTTTCCTGTCCTCTAAGGGCACCAGGAGCTTTGGGAAATTTTGTGGGTGTCTCCAAGTTTATCTGTACACCTGCAATTTCCAGACTGGAGTCCTGGTGGGGAAGGGGTGTCAAGAGGTGGGAGGTCAAATAGCTTTAGCAGGTGGGTGGGAATCATCTCAGGTCCTTGTTAAAGAAGAAAGGGAGAGCAGGCATGGTGGCTCACGCCTATAATCCTAGCACGAGGCACATTGATCACTTGAAGTCAGGGTTTCAAAACCAACCTGAGCAAGAGTAAGACCCTGTCTCTACTAAAAATAGAAAAATGATCTGGGCATTGTGGCAGTTGCCTGTAGTCCCAGCTACTCAGGAGGCTGAGGCAGAGGATCGCTTAAACCCCAGAGTTCAAGGTTGCTGTGAAGTAGGCTGATGCTACAGCGTTGTAGTCTGGGCAACACAGCGAGACTCTGTCTAAAAAAAAAAAGAAGAAAGGGAGTTGTACAAGTTATCTATTGCTGTATAACAATTTGAAATCATATCACTCTCAAATTAGTCACTTAATGAGAAAGGAGGGAAATTATTAATTTAAGGTAATAAACACATTATCTCACATGGTCAGGAGTCTAGGAGCACAGCTTAGCTGAGTAGTTCTGACACAAGGTCTCTTATAAGGTTATTGCCAGGATGTAGACCAGGGCTACAATCATCTGAAGGCTTGGCTGTGGCAGAGGATCTGCTTCTGAGACAGCTCACTTAGCTGGCTGCTGGCTGCTGGCCAGAGGACTGCGCTCCTCCAAACAAGGAGACATTGTCCCTCTTGCAGCCCCACCTGAAAGCAAGGCCAAGAGAGGGGAGGGGCATCTCTGAGGATTCCCAGTTCTCCCATGGGCCTGGCAGCCTCCTGCTGCACATATTGTTTGCTACTGAGAAGTTCCAGAGACCAAACAAGGCCCAAGACCTTGGCTAGTCAAGTGTATCAGGCAAAAGGCCATACTGTGGGCTTCAGACCTATGGTTGCATTTGCCAGGGCTTCCCTACCCTCACCATCCTCTCAGTTCCACAGGGTGGGGCAGGTCAGGGTTTCTGAAAGGCCCCTGCTCACCATCCCTATCAGGCAGAGGTGCTGGGAGGTTCAGGCCTGAGCCTCTGCTGCTACCTCCCTTCAAAGGAGGTGAGCAAGGAGCTTAGGGTTCCCCACGCAGGCTCAGACCAAAGTGGAGTTCCCCCTTTGAAGGGACCGGTGTTGGGGTGGGGACTGGTTCTGCTTTGTGGCTGACAGTTTCTCCAAGGGCTGCAGGTGTCAGCTGGCTGAGCCAGGCTAGGCTCTGAAATGTGCCTACTCAAACCTCACTCCTATGGGGTGAGGGAAGCCCAAGGACTACCCTCTGAAAGTGACAGAAAGTGGTACTTGAGCCAAGGGAAACGTGGTTGGGGTAGAGATGGGGGTTAGTCTTCTTGGACTCTGCTTCCCACAGAACAGCCCCAGTGATTCCTCCCCCAATTTCCACTCCAAGCCCTGCCCCCACTCCCCTTGGTAGAGGGTGTCAGCAAAGCCAAAGATGCTTCTGGTAAGGAGGCCACCACCGGGTTGCACCTGGGGCTTTCAACTTTCTTACAACACTGGTTGCCCTACAATCACCCAGTCTCCCTCACTGTGCCAGCCACTATGATGCTGGCTTCCATCTGTTCCCCATCTCTTTCCCCCTGCTCGGCCTCCTCCCCCTCCTTCAGCCTGGAGACAGAATTCATGCAGCAAAAACAGCTCTCAATCAGGAACCAGGAGACCTCTGGAAACCCCCTGTGCACTATGCTTTTAGTTGTGTGATAGGGCAGATGCCTTATCCTCAGTTTTTTCTCCTGTAAAATGAGGAGAATAACACCAGAAAGGTCTGGTAGGTGTAAATGTATGTGGAAGTGCTTTGGAAATGGAAAATTTTTCTGTGGATGTGAGAATCATTGGGATGCTAAAGCCTTAGAAGTCCCAGATGAGGCTATTGGTCTCAACTCCTCCATTGTCATGAGAGAAGACTCCTTGGAGTTGTCTCCCCGCCTTTCTTAATGCAGAGGAGAGGCAGGGTCAGGAGGGTCAGAATTCAGGCAGTGGGGTCCAAGTGGGTAAATTCAAACCTCAGTTCTGCCAGTTACGGTTACTAGCTCTGCAACCTTTAGCAATTTTTTTTTTTTTTTGGAAGTTTTTGGCCAGGGCTGGGTTTGAAACTACCACTTCTGGGTTGAACCCACCACCTCCAGTATATGGGGCCAGCGCCCTACTCCTTT